CTTGATCTTCCGTTACATGAGACATCGTATCCAATACCTGACAATGAGATGAAGAGCTCGTATTAAATCCATGCACATCACACCCTAGCTCCTCGTCCAATAAAGGTTCGCCATGCAATGGTTGCAGGGGACGAAGAAGCATAACAGGTGCTGGGAAAGATGGAATAACGAGCTGAGGGGGTAGAGAGAATCGAGAGTTTAAAAAACCCCATATACCTGAGCAATTGCGAAGCCGAGGCACAAGGGAGATAACTCCAATTGCAGCGGATTCACCAGGGCGACGATTTGGATGAAAGCTAATCCGTCCCGGCGACTGGGGTATAAATAAAGGGCCAATGCTTCTGTAGAAATCAAGTCTCAGAGGCATGTGGCTTGATAGAGTTTGAAGGCAAGTAGGAAAGGGATTCCCACTTTGAATAGGATTCACTCGAGAAGTATCCCGTTGGAAAGGGATCCACAGATAACCTCCCAACAACCCCAAGATGCAGGGGGAGTATTCGTCAGAATCTCGGGAGTATACGTCAGAATCAATTGTGAAATCGCAGTTCTTCCCCAAATCTCGGGATTGGGAATCAACCGCCCACGTGGGCACGCCTGGAGTCTCACCGTCGGACCTATCGGCAAGCTTAGCCGGAGAGCTTGTCAATCACCGCTTGATTACCAGCGATCGAACTTCCTCTTCTTCCATAACAAGTCACGCTCTTTTAGGTCGACCTGAACATGAGGTTCCACTGGTGAACCACCAATAAAATCAATAAACTCGTCGGACATGGATAACAGCGATTCCTCGCCTACCAGATCAGACGACGAAGGGAGCCAAAATCTCCATTCTTGAACCCGACCAATTCTGCGTTTTTTCGCAGCGCTCGAGTTTAATAAAACCCTTTCGCTCAAGCGATGGGGATCCTCTTGGGCCCAACCTCGCTTGCGTTTATGGAGCCCCTTTTAGGGCAGCAGTCCTTGCGAGGAATACAGCGGAAGATTTTGGGTTTGCCGTTCTTCCTCCTTGGCCTTCCCCACAACGTTCCGAGGCCGCGACCGACCACCACGAACAGTCTATCCCTAGCCATCTTGCACCATTCATCTTCCTGATTCCTCAGGCTGAACAGAAAGAGGGCGGCAAGGAAATTCAGAAGCCATCTACCCAGACGACACGACCACTCAAGGAGAGAGGAGAGAGCTCCGCTCATGGTTTTTTTTTTTTTTTTTTTGCTTGCTACTTTCTGACTGATTATTTACTACTTTCTAGTGATGGGAAATAAAGAAACTATTGGCTATTATGTTGTGTGGTATCCATTCGATATTGGAATGCAAATAAAAAAACTGTTAATTGTATCAAAGTTATAAAAAGCATCAATTTTTTTTTCTACACACTTAGTTGGAGTATTAAATTTGATACATTTTCCAATGAATTGAAACCCACACTTAAAGAGTCTTTTTCTCTAGGATTATGTGGTTAGTGACTTCGTTTGACTGATCAAAAAGCATTTCATTTAAATCGGCAAAATGAAAAGTTGGTATGAGTAATAAAATAGAAAATTGCTACCGTCTTCCTAATTTTTGATGAGTTTATTACACATTCTAGTTAACTTGTCTAACGATTAGTCGGAAAGTTGCTTTTACGAATTAACTCACAACTCACCTGCATCCACCCGGTCAATTATGTGGATAGATTGGGTCACAATTGTATCAACTCGTTAATAAACGAGTTGGTCAGTTTGATACCAAAATCCATGTCCACCCCTACTTCTTAAATATTAATCATAGGTTTTTTAGTGGAATAATTCAAGTATCTTTTGATAACCAAATATTGTCGGTTTGGTTATCGAATCTCAAACCAGAAGAGCTCTCTCAACCGACGGAATCGTTTACATGCTCTCGATCCCTATTAAGATTGACCTTCCTTACTGATACTTCAACCGGTTACAGAAGTAGTAATCCAGAAAATGGAGACCTCGTTCCTTAACCATTCTGTTCATTCATATCCTAGGTTGATGAAGCAAAACCAGTTAGGTTGCAGTCAGACATACTTGAAAAATGAAAAGTAATGAAAGGTCGGTAGGGAAAAGTGGCCAAGACAAGAGGACAAAGGAAAGGAAAATGCAGAGGAAATTCCATTGATAGGTGCGGAGAAAGTTAGTGGCAGAGCGCTTTGGCATTGTTTGATCTCAATATCTGGGGGGAGGGAGGGAGTGAGTGGGCGATCCAAATTTGAGGTGATAGAAATTTTATAATGAAGAGACGTGTGGCAAACATATGCCTGCCACGCTCTCTTCCACCTTCCCCTCTTCTTTCTTTTATCACAGTAGGTTGGGTAGATCACTAGATTGGCTATGGTAGTATGGTGCGAAGATGGTGATCCATTATAAACATGCGGCCACTTGTTTTTTTTTTTTTCTTTTGGTATTTTTATCTTTTTAGAAGCTTTTTGTTATCAGTTTTAGATATTTGTATAGCTCTTTTTCTAAGTAAAGAATTAATGGGGGATTTTTTTTTTTTTTTGTGAAGGTTATACATATACAATTTCCTCTAACCATTTTTCGAGCATGTGGCTCCACCAATGACTCGATGCACAATAGTTTTCATTCTCGTCCTAGAAAATTTAGACTTCAGACGGGCCGATTTTTTAATAGGATGAAGCTGGTTTAATTAACCTACTAAGTACTAACTGATTAATCCAACAAAACCTAAACAATCTAAGTAATTTGTACCGATCAACCGGTTTCTAGTTCACAATGAAACCAGTTCGGTTGTCTTAAACACAAAATCATACATCAGTAAAATACGGTATGGATAAGTTATGTATGAAATACGTTCTTGCATTTTATTTGTTTTATAAAGTAATAGTACATTTAATAGTACGTCAGTAGTTGTAATATATATAATTCATTATTTCAAAAATAAATTAGATACAAATAATAGTTAAATTAGTAATTTAATTCATTAAATAAGAATATTAAACGCGTTATACGGGTTTTATATTGTTTAGAATGGGAGCCATCAAAGAAATAGGAAAAAATTAAAGACTTGACAATAATACATATATGAAAGTTTTTTTTATTACCCAGGAACCTCAGCCCCATGTGCCACTTTGTGACAGCGGGGCTTACTAAACCTGGGAGCTACCTGCAATTAATTCGATGCCAATAGGGGTTCGCCCCATCAGCCTTATACCTATGGGAACACCAAGGGGTTCGCTGCCACTTTGTGACAGCGGGGCTTACTAAACCTAAAACCTGGGAGCCACCTGCAATTAATTCGATGCCAATAGGGGTTCACCCCAACAGCCTTATACCTACGCGAACACCAATGGGCCTTGCTTGAATTCAAATATGGGATCTGCAACTCTCAAACCTTCACTGTAGCGGCAGCTTTACCGTCAGACTATCTTACATTTCGTTGAATATGAATATCTTAAATGAATAAAATACATATACATGTATTAAATGAAATTTTTACTATAGTGAAAATGGTTAAATGCCACATTTGGTCACTGAGATTACTAAATTATGTCATGTTTAGTCACTAGAAAATTTTAATTTCAATTTTGGTCACTTGAATTACTGAAACGTGTCACATTTAGTCTCCCGTTGGTTTCTGTCCACGGCGGCTAATGCGAGAGTGACTAAATGTGACCTGTTTCAGTAATTCGAGTGGCTAAATGTGACATGTTTCAATAATTCGAGTGACCGGAGTTGGACGGAGGCTAACGAGAGAGTGACTAAATGTGACATGTTTCAGTAATTCGAGTGACCAAAATTGATATTAAATTTTTCTAGTGACTAAACATGACCTAAGTGACTAAATGTAGTATTTACCCTAGTGAAAATAGTAGCCTCCCAATTACTCTGGTCACAATAATTTCACCTTTTGCGGTCGGGCCGTTGATGAGGCATGAGTTACTGCCAGACGAGAAGAATCACATTCAAGGAGAGCCAATGGTTTGGCCATTGAATTGCATTCATTGATGCAGAAAACTATGGGAAAACAATTCCTTTTATTTTAAATCGAAATTACCTGAGGCGACGATTCCCACCTTCAAATGTTTTCCCCCGCTACTTATTACGTGCATGGAAAGTTTGACCATTCCACGCCAAAATGACGAAAATCACGGGTTGGGGCCCACGTTCGCAACAGTCAAGAAGGATCAATCTGAACACGTCAGAGAAATAGAGACTCGAGTCCCAGCCACGTCATCAGGTTGGATTGGGATTGGGGGATGAGGTGGAGAGGGGGACAAACCGAGGCGGGAGGGTGGTGGGACGCTGATCGCCTCATGCTTTCCATACGTGTCCACCGATCCCAGCCCTTGCCCCTGTCTGACGTGGCACACTCTGCCTTATTGATACCACGTGTGTTATCTCTTTGTCTCCACTTTTGCACCCACCGGGGGTAAAATGGTTTTAGTTACTTCCACGTCTGCCTCAGCCTCGAAAAAAATATCCAGTTGATAATCCGGTTCGTAGTTAAGATTAGAAATAGATAGACTAAGTGCAAGCTCTAAGGTGCAACCTCTGATACGATTATAAGAAAGTAGTACCTTAATAACAACAAAATAAAACCTATATCACCCTTATATAAAAAAAAGTCTACAATATGCAAACCAATCGTAGAAAATTAATCGTGAAAAGTGACACAAATCGGAGCATGCATAAATATAGAGCTAAAAACCTAATAGAAGTTTCGTTTTATTAATGAATTCGTTTTATTAATATTTGTAACGATTTAATTATGAGTCCATTCAATCATTTATCAAATATAAAAAATTTATAAAGTATCAATTTGAGAGTGAAATTTTATTTGATTGGAAAATATTTTGTTAACCCCCTAATTAGGTCAGATACACATGGAGGAGGAGCCTCTTATTAATTGCTGATTTGGCTAAAACCGTGACTGAAAATTGCAAAGTCGAATTATTAAAAGAAAAAAAAAATCAGAAATATGAAGAAGGAATAAAAATAATTATATAATCCTGTCCTGGAGCGAAAATTTTCGCGAAACACAAATCCAGCTATAAAAAAAAAAAAAGAGCAAGAGATAGAGAGAGCAGAGAGGGAGAAGAATTGAATCAGAATATTTTAGCCAAACCAACAATTGGAGAAGGTAGGAGAGGAGGATGCCTTGCATGAACAGGTGAGGGAGGTTGAAATCGGCGAGTTCGGTTTTTCTGGTAGGGGAAATCGCTGTAATGGCGACGCCATTTTCCGGTGTGGACGGAGGCGCTGGCGGCGTTGCGGTAATGGCAGGTCCACTGAACCCAATCGATCCTTCCACGCCGTCCAAGTCTTGCCTCAAGAATTCCGTACTCAAGTCCCCCATACTCATATTTCTCTTCTTCCACAAAGCTATCCGGTCGGAGCTCGACGGCCTCCACCGCGCCGCCATGGATTTCGCCACCAGTGGCGGAGATATTAAACCTCTGCTGGACAAGTATCACTTCCTCCGTGGGATTTATAAGCACCACTGCAATGCTGAGGATGAGGTAGGCGATTGCCCCCCTTTAAATTTACTTGGTTCCTTTCCAGTTTTTGAACGAACCTTTCTGGTCGAATTGCTTGAAATTGGGGTTCTGGAATTGTGATTCATGACGTCCTTTTTGGTGTTTATGTCATCCCAATCCTTTCCCCCCCACGCTCTCAGTCGGTGACTCGCTCCTGGCTTTGAGTTCTCTGCTAGACTGCTAATAAGTCTTATCGAAGGCTCTTCCTGATTGCCAAGTTAGTCCTGGAACAACCGATAGAGAATCGGATTGCTATCTGAAGCTTCTGGTTTAGTTTGCTCAGTTTGGGAATTTAGGGTGTCAGGAGGTTTTGTGCTTGTTGCATTGTTTCAACTCGTCTTTCCTTCAGGCCTTGATTAGTTGATTTTCATGGCTGGCTACTTTTCTGAGAAACAGGTTTAAGATGAGAGTCTAAAGTCTAGTACCATCTGCTCAGTATTTATTATCTACATGGATGCCTTCCATCATTGCTTTCAGAGACTCTTAAATAACAAATAAACTCATACATACTGGTTTCTCTATGCTTAGATGCTCCATTGATACTTAATTGAGGGGTGGCGGGTAACATGTTGCCATTGGTCTGTTTCTTGTGTTCGATGTTCTTCTAAGTTTCTGAAGTTCCTGGAACTGAATCTCTTAATTACTAGAACCTATACATAAAATAACTTTTCTTCACAGCAGTATAAATGTTGTCACTATCATTCCTTAAGTTTCCACTTCGGGCGTACAATACAATCATTGGCCATTTTCTAGTTTGTTCTCCTACATGCTGCCCCTATCCTTCCCCTGTCATCAATGTAAATAATTGTGAGTAGCAGCAGGCTGAGAAAGGGAGCTTTAACTGCTATGCCCTTGAGCTGAATATTTCTAATAGCTAGTAAGATACTAGCTACATGCCAATTTGACTTTACCTGAGTCTAAGGATGCACTATGAGTCTCCGGGATATGTGCTTGGAAATGCGAAGGAGTAGGAATGACGTACATAACCAAATAGTCTCATATCGGCAAATAGAGTGAAACAGAGCAGCGAAATGAAACTTCAATATTCAATATGCCTACCACATAGAGAACTGTCAATAGAGTGGAAGTCTATATGAGGTTATATCATGAGATGTAGTGCATATTTTAAATTCAATGCGATATAACTGTGGGACTGATCTATATATGTACTTATCATCAACTTCTATAGTTTTTGAGTACTGATCAAGTAAATTCTAGTCAATTGCGATTGCCATTCATACTAGAGTTTCCTGAAATGCACAGAGATTGTGCTGCCAACATTTATCATTATTGTTAGTCTGGCAAAGTTCTGGTGCCTGTTCTCTGTATCGTTTGAAAGGTTACATTACCAATGATCTGTCAAGACTATGGAAAAGGAGCTGACGATGTCTTTACCTTTTTTTTCTTCTTTTGGTTCTTGGAATCATAAGGTGTCATTAACTTGGTGTTTGAAACTGCAGGTCATCTTTCCGGCCCTTGATATACGTGTGAAGAATGTCGCTCGGACTTACTCCCTAGAACACGAGGGGGAGAGTGTTCTCTTCGATCAGTTGTTTGAGCTACTGAATTCAAGCATACAAAATGAAGAAAGCTATCGGAGAGAGTTGGCTTCTTGTACTGGAGCCATTCTAACATCAATAAGCCAGCATATGTCAAAGGAAGAAGAGCAGGTCAACTTGTTTGATAAAGTTATTTAATTAATAGCTGTTCTTGTGTAGTGCCTTAATTCCAACGGCAATCAGGTGGTCCTTTTTTTAGTTTTGCAGAATCTTTTCTTTGCTACTTGCCCTCTGGTGCAAGGGTTTCTGTTAGTTGCTCTTTGATATTTTTTCATGACAGCTTATGTTACTTTTCTGGTTTTTATTATAATGATACATAGCTATACTAGTTTAATGAATTGCTCGCACAAAACTGTGTGTACTTGTTCAATTGCATATGCTACTACAACAACACTTGCCTAATTCACACTACCTATCATCCCTTAAGAGTTAATGTTAGATGGTGTGTTAGACACCAGCAGTTCTTACTGGACATGGATTCTGTATCATATTAGAAGTAAATTGCATGTAAAGCCTCATCGATGTTTCCAAATAATTGAGGTTTATCATGTCAAGGTCTAATTACTTTCAACTGAGTAAAGTTGCTCGGTACAACTTCTCAGTCCACTTAAAAGGAGTTTGCACGTAGAGGGGCAAAACAGATCAGTCTCACTTGCTTTTTGTTGGATAACTGCAGGTCTTCCCGCTGCTAATTGAGAAGTTCTCATTTGAAGAGCAGGCTTCACTTGTGTGGCAGTTTCTCTGCAGCATTCCTATTAATATGATGGCTGAGTTTCTGCCATGGCTTTCTTCCTCAGTGTCATCTGATGAGCACCAAGATATGCGTAAGTGCCTGTCCAAGATAATACCCGACAAGAAGCTTCTTCAGCAGGTGAGATCCTTTCTGAGATGTTCTTCATTATTGAATGGGGTTTCTGAAGGGAGCTCGCAGGAAGCTGATCTTACCTTCTGTTGATGAAGGTTATTTTCACCTGGATGGAGGGGAGAGAACCCACTGATGTTTGCAAGAGTCGTGAAGCCATTTCACATTCCAAAACCTGGTCACATGTTTCAGGATTACCGGAACCAATTGTTACGAGAGAGATTCATTATGCATGTGAAGCATCTGGAAATGGTAAAAGGAAATATATGGAGCTAAGTTCTAATGTTGTTGGTTCAACCATGCCTCATCCCATTGACGAAATTTTGCTCTGGCATAATGCAATTAAAAGAGAGTTGACTGACATAAGTGAGGCAGCTAAGAAGGTACAACTATCTGAAGACTCTTCTGATCTCTCTGCATTCAACAAGAGACTGCAATTCATTGCAGAAGTTTGTATTTTTCACAGGTTTGTTTCGTTTCCTTTTCTTGTCTGGATATCCTTCCAATACTCAGACCTAACTGTCTCTGAACTGTTGTTCTTTTACCATTTGAGTTGGAAACCTCTTTATTTTTTGCCTCAATGAATATTGACCAATAATGCGATCGACTTTAAATTATGAGCTGTGTATTTCGGCGCTGTTACTTTTATGTTTCATCAGTTGATTTGTATTCTTTTCTGCTGCCCAGGCCAGAAGGTTCGCACAAAAACTCTTCTTTCTTTTACTGTTTCTTAGTACTTAAGAAGATAATAGTTTTTGTGTGTCTAGCTCTCTCTCAACTTACTCTGCCATACTCTTTTATTCATATTGAAAGCATACTACATTTGTCAGGTGTTTTTCGGCATGTTACAGTACAAACACTGAAAAATTTGCTCCCCTTATTTGTATGGTAAGGCATATGTTCTTGGGAGGCTGAAACCTCTGGTTTTGTTATCTGCAGTATTGCTGAGGACAAGGTTATATTCCCTGCCGTAGATTCCGAACTGTCTTTTGCTCAGGAGCATGCCGAAGAAGAAATTCAATTTGACAAACTCAGATGCCTTATTGAAAGCATTCAAAATGCTCGGGCCAACATATCACTCACCGAGCTTTATGGGAAGTTTTGTGCGCAAGCTGATCACATAATGGACACCATACAAAAACATTTTAAAAATGAGGAGGTTCAGGTAACTATCATTTCTCGAACTGTTTATGAAACTCTTGCTATCAAAGCTTATGCACATTTCTTTCTTCCAATCTGCTTATATTATTGGCCTTACGATTCAACTAACTTTTGGCTCTCTGTAAGGTAACTAATATACATGCTCTGAATAGGTTCTCCCACTAGCTCGAAAGCATTTTAGCGCAAGCAGACAGCGCGAGCTTCTTTACCAGAGCTTATGTGTGATGCCTCTGAAATTAATTGAATGTGTTTTGCCGTGGTTGGTGGCATCACTCACTGAACAGGAAGCAAGATTGTTTATCCAAAATATTTATCTGGCAGGTTAGTAGGCTTGTTCTGAGTTCTGCAACTCTGTCTTTTGTTTTTCCCCCCTTCCAGTCCTTAGTATTTGGATTGGGACCCTTGCAGCACCAGCTTCAGATTCTGCATTGGTTACTCTATTTGCTGGTTGGGCATGTAAAGGTCGTTCTGGAAATGCTTGCTTGTCTTCAAGTCCCCTAGATGGTTGTCCTGCAAGAACCAAAACCAATGATCTTAGACAACCATGCTGCAATTGCAACGCTGTTTCATCACCAGATCAGAAGCCATTTGTTGATGGCCAAATAGAGAAAGTAGACTGTGGAAGAAGACCAGTCAAGAGGCCAAACTCTGTTTTGCATGGCGAGAATGGTTCTTGCCTATCTTCTGGGGCTCCTGGTCATCTCCACCAATCATCTACAAACGGCTCGTCGTGCTGTGTGCCGGCTTTAGGAGTCAATAGCAGTAGTCTAGGAATTAGTTCTCTTGCTGCAGCAAAATCTCTTCGCTCTTTATCTGTTAGTCCTTCTGCTCCCTCTCTTAATTCTAGTCTCTTTAACTGGGAAATAGATGTAAGTCCCTCGGATACCGCCTGTGCATCACGCCCTATAGATAACATATTTAAATTTCACAAAGCCATCCGCAAAGACTTGGAGTATTTGGATGTTGAATCGGGGAAGTTATGTGATGACACTAGCGAACCCTTGCTTAGGCAATTTACTGGTAGGTTTCGCTTGCTATGGGGGTTATACAGAGCACATAGCAATGCAGAGGATGATATAGTATTTCCAGCATTGGAGTCTAAAGAGACGCTTCACAACGTTAGCCATTCCTATACACTGGACCATAAGCAGGAGGAGAAACTGTTTGAAGATATCTCAACCACACTATCTGAGCTCACACACCTCCATGCACACTTGAAGAGAAGCAGGCATTGTGATAATTTATCAGGAAATCTTTGTGGTGCTTCCGACTGTGAAGATACAGTTAGGAAGTACAATGAGCTTGCAACGAAGCTTCAAGGCATGTGCAAATCCATAAGAGTAACACTGGATCAACATGTTTTCCGAGAAGAACTGGAGCTGTGGCCATTATTTGATAGACACTTTTCTGTGGAGGAGCAGGACAAAATTGTTGGTCGAATTATTGGTACTACTGGTGCTGAGGTGCTTCAGTCAATGCTGCCATGGGTAACATCTGCTCTTACTCAGGAAGAGCAGAACAAAATGATGGACACTTGGAAGCAGGCAACCAAAAACACAATGTTTAGTGAGTGGCTAAATGAATGGTGGGAGGAAAATTCTAATGCCACTCATATAACTACATCAGAAAGTTGCCTATCCCAGGGTACGTTCTGATACTCCTATTTTCACTTTCATGTCATTTGGTTGGGTGTCTTTTGGCAAATTGATCTTTAGCATGCAATGAACAAATATATCATCTTTTTTTTACATGTTTTATGTGTTTAAGTGTGTTTGAAATTACATATGCGACCGATAAAACGATGCAATCTCAAATACATGGGGTACAATGTATTTGTAAATTGCACTCTATAAAAGTAGGTCTCACATGTATATTTTCATTTTTCTGTCACAAGTTCATTTACCAATAGACTGAACCTAACTATCTTTTTGCATTTACACCTCACATTGTAGCATGTAACCTAGACAAATAACATCCATTTACACTGAACGAAACACGCTCGTTGTTAAATTTGTCCTCATACGTTAGTGAAACAAATTGGGTTTTTTATACACCATATTATGTATGCTTTAAATTTTGAAAATGATGCTGATTTAACCTGTGAAAAGTCGTGCTATTTTCTTTATGTACTACAACCTTTTCGATTTTTTACTCTGAATCTATATTTTCTGATCTCACTCAGGTGCTGATATCCATGAAAGCGTGGACTGCAGTGATAATAAATTTAAACCTGGATGGAAAGATATTTTTCGGATGAATCAGAATGAGCTTGAAGCAGAAATTCGGAAGGTTTCTCGAGATTCAACTCTTGATCCTAGAAGAAAAGCTTACCTTATTCAAAATCTTATGACAAGGTTTGTGAGTGCTATGTGTATTGAGGACCTCATTTGGATGATAAATTTTTTTAACAACATTTGGATAATAATTTTTACTTACCTTGTTCAGTATGATATTTCTGACAGTCGGTGGATAGCAGCCCAGCAAAAGTCACTTCAGGCAGAATCTTCAAATAGTGAAAACTTGGAGTGCTCTCCTTCATTTCGTGATCCAGATAAAAAGGTTTTTGGATGCGAGCATTACAAACGGAATTGTAAGCTTCGTGCAGCTTGCTGTGGCAAGTTATTTGCGTGCCAATTCTGCCATGACAAAGTGAGCGACCATTCTATGGACAGGTAATTATGGTGCCCATTCGTGTTAGACTTGTGTATGGTGGAATTTTTTTTGTGATAAGCCGAAGTCTCCTTTACAACTTTTGGGCTGAGTTGACATATATAACCTGGAAATGGGAAATCCTTCCTTCAGAAAGTGTAAATGGTAATTAAGTCTTTTGATATTGTTTTTTGGACCTCATTGTCTTTACGTGCTTCCAACTTTGATGAATCTTCCAATTTCAAACTGTATGACCAATTGTTGTCAATATATACCTTTCCGGGTGGGAAGTCACCAGTCTTGTAAATTTTCTCTGTACCAGGAAGGCAACAACTGAGATGATGTGCATGCAATGCCTGAAAATTCAGCCTGCCGGGCCTGTTTGTGTCACACCTTCCTGTGACGGGTTCTCTATGGCGAAGTATTATTGCAGCATCTGCAAATGTTATGATGATGATAGGTATATGACCGCTTTAACTCTTTGAATTTGGTTTAGAGTTATCTCTACAGAAAATTTTTTAGATGATGAAAAATAAACATTCAGAGTTACTTACCTCCATATTACATTTCTTCTTTTCTCTATCTCTAGTTCTTTAGTGAACTTGAAAATGTATTTACAGAAAATAATAGATCTAATACAGACAACAGTTTAGTGTCTCACTTGACCATGAAATTTTCTGGCTTCAAATTTCTGTTGTAGTACAATGTCTTGTGTTTCCGAGATGTTTTGATTTTCCTCCTACAATTAGTCTGGACGGGAACAGTTGGGAGCACTGGTAATTAGTTGAGATCAATATTTCAGAGAGGGATAAAAGAAGGAACATGGAAAAAGAAATAATGGCCAAGACTCAAGTATGCCCTTCTTGGTAGAAAAACTGAATACTAGCTAAATTGTTTTAATACTAGGCCACGTTGGAAGCAATTTATTGGATTGGACTTGAACTTGAACTGGTTTATGAATTCAGTTTGCTAAGCTTTGTTCCTTCTACTGTGCTACTCTTCCTTGAAAATTTTCAGAAATGTATACCATTGCCCATTCTGCAATCTATGCCGTGTTGGGAAGGGCCTTGGTATTGATTTCTTCCATTGCATGAAGTGCAATTACTGCCTTACCATAAAGTTGGTAGACCATAAATGCCTGGAGAAGAGCCTGGAAACAAATTGCCCAATCTGTTGTGATTTTTTATTCACATCAAGTTTGAGTGTGAGAGGCCTTCCATGTGGACATTTCATGCATTCGAGCTGCTTTCAGGTATATTCTTTACTCTGGTTCCCTGTTAAATTTGTTGATTGCAAGATTGGCAGGCTTTTCTGATTCTATTGAGTTTATGTTTTGCCTTTTCTTTTGACAGGCATATACTTGCAGTCATTACATGTGTCCGATTTGTAGCAAGTCAATGGGAGATATGTCGGTAAGTTTGTATGACAATCATGCATTTCGGTTGGTCTTGTTGGTAACTTTTCTTTAATCATAATCTTCTTGTAGATGTTGCCAAGCTCAAGCTCTTGCAATGCAATGCTGCTACAGTTTTTAACTCTTATTTGAAGTCTTGTAACTTTCACACTGTAATGAGCTGGTGTTACTGTGTTTAGCATGTTGTGATATATGTGCATTAGCATTACAAATACTATACTATTACTAGAAATGGCTATGGGGTGTGGTTGGACGGGTACCCTCATTACCCATTCCTGCCTCTTACCAAGTACTAGTCAGGTTGCTGTAATGTGTATCGGGGCAATGGTCATCGTAAGTTGACCTGTTCTTACATGTTATAAGAGTAAACATTAGATAGAATTGAGACAAAACTCATTGAGAATGTGGTAGGATGGGCATACCTCGCCCCCACTTACCTGCCCAAAACATATCAGAACAGGTTAGGTCAGGTTTCAGATTGAATTTTGTCATCCCTAGCTATTATGACTTCTTATAATGCTCAACAACTGCTAAGTTTTTCAAGTGTTTATCAGGACTTGGTTGTATTGTCAATTGGTACTGGAATGTGAATAGAGCTGTCCCTTGTGTGTTTCAGGTTTATTTTGGGATGCTTGATGCCCTATTGGCTTCTGAGGTGCTACCTGAAGAATACAGGGATCGTTGTCAGGTAACTACCTCGTAATTGTTTCAGAATGTTTTATATTTGGAATCTAGGATGGATATTAAGTAAAGTGGAAAATCCAGGATATTCTGTGCAATGACTGCGACAAGAAAGGAAGTGCACCGTTCCATTGGCTTTACCACAAGTGTGGTTCCTGCGGTTCCTACAACACCAGGGTGATTAGGACCGATTCCAACTGCTCGACCCCAAGTCAGAGGCAGAGCGAGTGAGATCGGCTGGTACCAAACGTTCAATCGGCTTTACCGCATGTGGAGGTTCCTGCAACACCAGGGTGATTAGGACCAATTCCGACGGCTCGACTACAAACCAGAGACAGAGCAAGTAACAGAGCCAGTATCACTTCTAACATATTTCCTCCGTCCAATATAGGTGTGTATATATACTCCACGATTTTTACAACTTGATTGTACATTATAACAACCACTACTTCTATTCCCTGAGAACTTCTACCACCGAAGTCCATCATCCTTCCCCACCTGCATAAGTTTTTGAACCAGTTTGAGACAGGTGGGTGAGGCGGTATGAGTAGCTGATAATTGGACTTCTGTTAGTGTCCTGTTTTCTGATATTAAAAGCATTTTTCATTACCTGAAAATGAATGAGCATGGGATGATAATATAAAACACAATGCTGGCGATTCTGCAGAACTGGAATTCTTTCCGCAGGTTAACTCCTATAGTCCTATTCGACTCTTCTTCGTTGCTTCAATTTGTGAGGTTTTATCCGATAATCGTTCTTCGATGCACTTCAAATTTTCTGTCAATATCTGGAGCTTGGGGGGACTCTTCTTGCTTGTGAATCAAGACGGGAACTTGGGAATCCGTCTATACTGCAATCGTCAGCATTCAAAGAGTTTGCAACCATTTATCGGAAATTGGGTGTTACTGTGACAGCTATATCGCTTCGAGCTACTTCTCCCACTCACCTTGCATGGTTGGTTTCCAAGTGTTTATATTTCTTTCACCTACCTTAAACGTCAGTTATGCAATCGAGCTAACATTTGCAACAATCGAACTTGCTAGTAACTAAAGGAAAGTAACTCGATTCTACTATAAATCCAGCGTATCTCAGCGTCCAGTTGTGCAACACCACGATTGTCTAGCAATTACAACTATCCGATAGCCAAATGCGTACGCTTTAGTGTAAACAACCCACCCAAGATCTTTATGAAGCTGCATCTCATAAAACAGCTAGCTAGGGCACAGAGTGAAGTGCTTGCAGCAGCAGCAAAACCTTTAAGCGCAGTATATAGACGAGCAATAATTCGTTTTCGTAACCTTATAGACTATTAGTCATTTTCTTTCCGTCGAGCGCCAATTAATGGAGGATCCAGGACACTCTTTTCATTCTTCTTCACATCGGATTTACAGAGGTGGCTTAATCCAAACTAGGTGCTTCTTCAGTTGGATTGGACTCGAAAACAGATTCACCAGGTTCTTCCAAAACATCCCCTGTCTGGGTGGACTCTTTGTATGCCGGAGTGTCCTTGAAATCAGTCGCTCCTTCGTTGTATGTAGCCACAGCAACGCCACAGGCTATCAACTGCGCGTAAAATGAGAATTGAGCAAACCAATCGGACAAAGATCCATACTTGGGTCTCTCTCCAACTACAACTCAAGTTATAGGGATCAACCAAATTCTTGGGCATCGAAAGAGCCATAAAACCAAATGAAAAGAGGGAGAGAGAGTTATATACCGAGAAAACAATACCCAGAGCCCACAAATACTCGACGGCGAAGCCGAGAGTATCCCACTGCGGGCCTTCCCAGAAGTCCTTTTCGTCCCCTGGGAGCTTCGGCATCACAAAACCGTCGTCAACAACACTACTATTGCTTAAACCAGCGCTGCTCTCAACGCCGTCTGGGGAGGAGCCGAACTCGACCGGATCAGAGGTCGTGTTCCGTTTCTCCCCCAACTTCTCGGTGGTTTTGATGGAGCCCCGCCGACCCTTGGCGGAGACTATGTGGAGGAGGTGAGATCTCCTGGGGGAGAGCGGCAGGGGAAGCCGGACGCCACCACGGTGGGGGAAGTAGTTAGACGACTTATGGCGCTGTACGGAGGTGGCTGCGGAGATAGCTCCGGCACCATTGCCGCCGCTGGCGACGAAGGTAGACATGGGATGGGAGCGGATTTCTGGATTGAAGTTTGAGGCTGTGGAGAGGTTTTGAGTGGGCAGTGGGGTTCTGGATGTGGCTACCATTGGCGGGTATTGATCCTTTTTTGTTATCTTCGTTCTGACACGTCGGCCCTTTTTCTCTTTATTAATTGTTTTTCGTTGAATTTCCTTTTTATTAGATCTTCCTGATTTTTTTTTATTTGCTTGTGAGTTGTGACATCAATTCATTCAAATTCTACGATATATTGACCATCGCTTTAGAATTGTAAAATATCCATACTCATCCACTTGAATCTGCCTTCAACTTATCATTATTTTTCTCAATATAATTATTAATTAATTATACATAAATAACAATTTCCATGAAATTTTGTTTTATCTACCTTTCATCGTTCTAGTGATTAAATTCCACTAATGTAATGCCAACATGTGTGTGATTGAATTCAGCGAAGAAGAAGGAAAAAAAAGTGTGATTGTCAACACGTTGGTTGAAATTATAAAGAGATATTATTATTCGTGAATAACTATAGATATTCGAAACTCGATCGAGTATGTGTATGACTTTGAATTTTGATATTCTGTTTGATTCTTATATGGATATGAATATGTGTAAAGCCCAAATTATTTTGGGTAGAATAATGGATGTGCATTATTTGCACCGACGCAATTCGTTGTCATCCCTACATTTTTTGGATAAATGAATTGTGTATTACAATTAAAATTGTATTTGAGGGAAAGAATTAGATTTGATAGTTTGGGTCAATAAAAATTAAGAATTCAAGAGTTTAGATTTTTTTTCTTCCATTGGTTGTTGTCTCTAAGATTCAAACTCATGTGTGACAGATGTTTTGATCCCATATTTTCACTAGGTCAAGCAATGGTATAAACAGAAAAAACAAATATTAGTCTTTCTCTAAAAAAATTCCTCCAAACTACGACATTTTAATGACATCCTCCATCTAAATTCCACTCAACTCAGTATTCTATTATATTTCAAGATTCATTCATGCAAATCAACTCTAAATAGGGGAGTGCAACGGTTGGATCAGGATCAGAGAAGATCGAATTCATGAGAATCGCGGTCTAATGGTGAAAAACAGTTTAGGATTAAGGACTAGAACAACAGTGTATTATCTACAATTTGGTGTGTTGATTTTTTTTTCCCGCGTTTATAAAATTCATGAGTCCAAATACCACAACACATTATATTTAGTTTAGTATGGTCCTATCAAAAACATCAATTTCATCCGTTGTGATCCTATACGGGACAAACCGTTGCACATCCCTACCTTTAAATAACGAAGAGAGAAGAAACATTAATTGGAATCTATTTAGCTCATAAACACGTAACCGTTACTATAGAGCTATGTTTAAGCGGGTAACTTAGTTTGACACAAAAGGGATAATCCTTTTAACTCACAAGGAATCAAAACAGTAAAATCAACGAAAATACATTCCATTATTATTTAGTTCATAGTAACTTCTGCATAGATCACAGAAGACAAAGTTACGGTTCATAGACTACGAAGAAGAACGCCTTCAAAGGTGATTCCAGGCCCAAAAGCCAATCCCAGCCCCCATTCTTCTTCACCCTCCTTATATTCTCCTCCCTTCCTCTTCTTCATCAGCTCCTCCCTCATATACTCCATCACGTAAAAGATCGTGTTGCTGCTCACATTCCCATAATCCATCAACGCCCTCCTGCTACAATCCAGCTTCCCTTCCTCCAACCCAAGCTTTCCCTCCAACCGGTTCAGTATCGCCGGCCCACCCGGGTGAACCGCCCAGAACAACTCATTAAACCCAACCCCACAATCCAACCCACCATTCCTCATCAGCTTCCGACAAAACTCCTCGATGTTCCCCTCAATCTTCTCCGGCAGATCCCTGCCGAGCTTGAAATTGATCCCTTCCTCCGACAGCCGCCCGTCGATCACCCCGTGGGTCCCGGGGAGGAACTCCTGCACCGCGTAGCTCAGCTCCATGAACGGCGCCTCCTCCTTCCCCTCCACCGGGTCCGCCCCCACCACGACGGCGGCGGCGCCGTCGCCGAACAGCGCCGCGCCGACGAGGTCGTAGGGGCGGGACTTGCTCGGCGGGCGGAAGCCGAGGATGGTGGTCTCGGAGGTGGCGAGGAGGACGCGGCTCCCCGGGTTGTTCTCGGCGATGTCCTTGGCGACGCGGAGCCCCGTGACGCCGCCGTAGCAGCCGAGGAAGTAGAGCATCACGCGCCCCACGTCGCTCCGCAGCCCGAGGCGCGTGGCGAGGTGGAGGTCCCCACCCGGGAGGCGGATCTCGCTGGACGACACGTAGACAAGGTGGGTGATGTCAGCCGCGGGCCGCCCCCATTCCTTGATGCACGCCAGGCTGGCGTCCGCCGCCATGTCGACGACCGCCGGGTTCGCGATCTCCAGCCTCTGCCTGATCGTCGGCGAACCTTCTGTCGCCAGCTCCGGGTACTTGTCCAGTATCTCCCTGGACAGCACGGTGAACCTACGCTTCACGGTTGTCGTTTTGCCTGTGTTAACACAAATGGTCAAACACTCAGAAATTAGTAACGAACAAAAGAAGAAGAAAAAAAAAAGGATGTGAGTATTTTGGAGAGCATACATAACCGTTCGAGTTTCTCTTTGATAGCAGGGTCGTCGCATTTGGTGTCACGAATGTAACCTTCGACCAGACATTCTTGAGGAATGAGCTGGCTTGGGAAAGCCTTGCCGATTGCGAGCAGAGTTGCCTTTCCTGGTGTTGGGGCGCGTCTAAGTGCAGCGAGATTGTGGTCGCCATTTTTCTGTGACATTTTTTTTTGTTTGTTTGTTTGAGGGGAGATAGAATTGTTTTTGGGTGATTTGTGTATAACTGATGTGATGGTGGTATTAGTAACACAAAAGATGTGTGAAGTGGGGGTGGAGGGGATATAAAGGAGAGGTTTGGGGATTTCGTAGGAGTGAAGTTGGTGCCAAAGTGAAAGTAGCATGAGGGGCATTGAATTGGAACGATATTCTCTACTTATTTAGGGTTGGTGACATGTTGTTGGTTTTTTTGGGCTAGGTTGGTTTTAGGTTGGTCTCTATACTATTTCTAACATCAATCTTTTCGTGACTTTGGTCGCCCAATAATAAATTCGATTTCCGAGAAAATATTTACGTAATAGTAGTAAAGATCATGTATGCAACTAAACTTTTTATGGGACAAGGAACGAATGATGCATATTCTCTTAAGATAAAAAAAAAACATATATCACTTTTATTAAATTATGGTTTTCCCCCCCCCCAAATTGACTAAATATGAAAATTACAGACTTACCGTATATATATCACCACATACACTTCGTAATTGATCGCTGCTTTTTATCAGATACTCCGTAAAATCATACCTATTTCCATACCATACTAATTTGGCTAAACCCCATACAACTATGCCCAACTCATAATTGTAGGAATTCCTTCAAACAAGAATGGAGACAAATATTGTACTATTCGACAAGAGTTGTTATCACTTATCACTACATAAGGGTGTTATGACTATCATCAAGTCAATATAGTCATTTGATGAAATAATATCAATCTAAGTACTGATATTTATGACGCCAATTGAAAATTAAATATATATTATTTTATAAACATTTCTTCATTGTTGGATTTCTAGAACTTGAGTTTGTTCATCAGTGTCATGATTTCGGTGAGATCGATGATTTGACACTCAACAAAATAAAAAAATGCACTCTTTTTAAAATTTCCCTCATCACAAATCTCAAGGTTCAAAATCACATACATAGAGATGAGAAACTGTGCGGTTGCGGTTAACTGCACAGCAATTGGCGGTTAACTGCCATCGCAAAGTGCCAATATTAGCCAACCACAACCGCACCTGCTATGCTACGGTTAGCGGTTAACTACTAACCGCAAAATGCGATTAACGGTGCGTCGCGGTTAATGGCATCACCAACCGAGTTAACCGCGTCTGTGCATCTACGTCTCTCGAATGGTCGCGCCATTAATGTCGACGAGCATAGCAGATGTGGAGAGGACGACGGCGTGTGCTTCGCCTCTGGAATGGTCGCGCCGTCGACGAGCAGAGCAGATGCGGAGCAGAGTAGTTGGATGCACCTAACCATCGAACTCGAATCGAGCAGTGATGACGGCGAAAAAGGGTTATGGACGAGAAGGGACGGTAACGGAGGGATTTCCGGACGACGAGTCTAGGTTCTACTCTGGAATGGTCGCGTCATCGCGGCCGATTGTAGGGAACTAGGGTTTCCTTTTTTTCGATTTGGGAAAGTGGATGAAGAAAGAATTCGTAAGTTGGGGTTTGGGGGAAACGGGAACTGTGGTGGAAGGGGCCGGGTCGACAGTGGGCTAGTGGGCCTGGGGTGGGGGTTTGTTGGTTGGGTTGGTCCGGAAAATGAAGTGGTGGGCTAGGCTGCGCTTAGTAGTGTTGTTAGGTGCATCTGTGATTTCGGTTGCGGTTAAACCGCAAACTGCAAAAGACTCATTATCCCCGACCGCGACCGCAAAAGAGTCTGTTTTGCGCTTTGTGGTTAACCATTAACCGCGTGATTCAGTGCGGTTAGCGGTTTAACCGCACAACTATAACCAAATTCCCAGTCCTACACATACATGGCCAAAAAGTTGCATCAATTGAACACTCGAGCTGTCGATCACAAAGTTATAACTTATAAGGATTAATATATTTGTATGACCTGAACTTTTCACATAATAAACATCATGGCCTGTACTATACACCAAAGTAACGAAATTGGCCAAACTAAAAAATTGATCGTTATCTTGGACGGTCAACGTGCCACATCACCGCCAAGTCAACACCTTTCACTTAATTTTTTTAATATTTTCCACCTATTGCTATTTTTTTTTCGTTGAATCTATTTATTTTTTTCATTTGAATAAAATAATTTGAAAATGAATTTTTTAAAGTGAAATGAAAATGAATTTTTTCATTTTTCAATTTTGTAAGTTAAATTCAATTTTCCCTTTAAAAAAAATCATTTTCAATTTTTTTCATTCAAAATGTAAAAATAAACAGTAATAAGAGGAAAATATAAACATTTTAAAGTGAAAGGTGCTGACTTAGCGGTGACGCGGCGCGTTGACCGTTAGTCAACGCGTTTGACCGTCCAAGATAACGGTCAATTTTCGGGTTTGACTAATTTCGTTACTTTGGTGTATAGTTCAGACCATGATGCTATAGATAAAAAAATTGGCCAGGATGTTAATTATGTGAAAGATTCCGATCATATAAATATATTAACCCAAGTTATAATCCTTATATAAAAATATGCTGAGGTTGATTTTCCTCGTTGGTTACCTGGACGTTGGTAATGAACTAATGATATGTTCTCAATTTCCTATCTGACATGACATGCTGGGAAAGAAATATAATGAATTAATTTGAATGGTAATCTGAATTCTTCTATGTTTATGTTTTGAGTTGAGGACGGAATCTGACGACGAAAACCAGAACACTATTGCACGTAATTCCGATTCTGTATCTTAAAAAGGACAAAAATTTATAAAAAGATACCGAAAAGGAAACTAACCCACATATACCCCTGAATTCACGTCGTGCTGCAGCCTGCAAAGCAGCAGCTGATTAGATTTAGAAGAACGAGCGGAAGGAAAAAGGAGACTCAGCAGCAAGGGGACAAAAGCCAACCGAGAGACAGAACCAAGGTAAACAAACCCTCTTCCAGCTGCCAAAACCAGAATGCTCGCTTTTCAGATTACAGTTTGTCCGAGAAAGGTTTCAAAAACCCTACCCGCCATTTTCTATCTTGCTTCTCTATTGGGTTTTCTGGATTGAATTCGAAATTTCGTTGCGACTTTCTACAGTTCTGTAAAGTTAAAATTTCGTGTCCCAGTTTTACAAATTAAGCGATTTACTTTATTGATCTTCCCGAGAAGAGCAAGTACAGAGGGATCCGATGAATTGCTTTGAGTTGTGCGTAATTTTCCCAAAATTCCAGTTCCAGTGGATCCGATTTTTGAGGAATTAAGCGCTCTGTTTTCTTGGGGGGTTTTAGATTTGCAGGGGGCACTAAGCGGTGAATGAAAAGATTATTTCTTTGGATTGAAAAGGGTTTCAGAGGAGAAAGATAGGTGAGAAAGACCGAGGAGAGAGCGTGACAGAAGAGAGGGATAGGTGAAGAGTGAAGGGCTGAGATGAGTTCGAAGAAGGCGGAAAGCGCTTCATCAGGTGCAGCTCCAGCAATTCGGCGCGACCCGTATGAGGTTTTATCTGTTTCAAGGGATTCTACCGATCAAGAAATCAAAACCGCGTACAGGAAACTTGCTCTGAAGTAAGTTCTTATAATTGTCAATTCTTCAGAAAGAAAAAATCCATTTATTATGGTTACGGTGTGAATTGTTGGGCTTTTCTTGATTGCAATCTTTGTATGAATGGGTTTAGAGAACGTGCCAGTTGGAGTTCCATTTTGTTCATGTTAGCTATACTAGCTAAATGAGCTTGTGGAATGACGGATGAAGATTTGCCAGGCGAGTTGTAAAGGCTTTTTCTTTAGAGTAGCTATTGTATTGAGATGCTGTAAATGTTTTCAGAGTATAAAACCCAACTTAGTTTTGCAGTGTGCTCATTACAGACTCCCGCTTGATGTTACCTACACAGTTTGAATCTGCCATTGGTTAGTAGTTATAGCGTTTTCCTTCATGGGCACAAGGAGCCTGGCACTCATTTGCAATCATAGGGATAAGGCTGGATGCTGGGAGTTGCTTGTTTCGAGTTTGTCAATGTGGTTTAGTGTGTATATATTTCTGTAAACTGGGATTGGATACAAAGTAAGCAAGTTATAGCATGAAGTGAAGTAGTGAAGAGTTGAGTGATGGAGAGGGTGGTATAAGTGGAGGTTGTTTGCTGTTTTGGTAGGAAGCAAATGTGATGGTATGTTTAAGAGGGGGCAAGGGTTTAGCCCTCCATGTGCGTCTGCTGCTGATAAACAGAGATATGAAATTAGTTCTCAGGTGAACAAACAATGAGAAGTTACTCTTCCAACCACATGGGGTCTGGAGAAATGTATTCAATATAAAAATAATGAAAATTTCCACTTTCCCTCAAGGTGCTGGTTAATTAAGGAAATAGAACCTCTTGATAAGTGGCCATCTTTAATCTGGGTGATTTTTTTTGGTTAGATTAATCAATATTCATTGATTGAGTGATGTAAATCATGGCCAGGTATCATCCGGACAAGAATGCCAACAATCCGGAAGCTTCAGAACTTTTCAAGGAGGTTGCGTATTCCTACAGTATCTTATCTGACCCAGAGAAGAGAAGACAGTATGACAGTGCAGGATTTGAGGTGATCTTTCAGTATGCTATTATCTTTACCTTTCCTACCGATAACTATTCTACATTTCTTATGCTTAAGCAAGCTTTGCCTAATCATAATGGAAGAGAGCTTAGGCCTATGTCACAATTTAGAAAGGCCATCTTTTATATAATCAAACATGTGGAGTACCAGAGAACTTGCATGCTGGGTTCTCATGTATATAAAGACCATTTGGGTATTGGCTTCATGGCCTAACTTCTAAAGCCTCATTTATTCCACTATCTTGCCAAATTCATATGGAACAGAAATATTCTAGCGGAACTGGTGTAGCTCACCATAATTTCACATTGGTGCAGCTCCACATTTCCTTGAATAGATCATATTGGCACAAACCACCATCCTTCTTCTGTAGATATGCATGCACAGGAAAGAGAGAAAGGGATGTGAGTTGGTGGGGGTTAGGGTATAGGAAAATGTACTGCCTTGCTATGAAGATCCATGGTTATTTTGATTGCGAAGAAATTCGTGGTGTAGGGTGTTAATAGCAAGGAGCATGCTGGCCAGTCTTTCGATACCTTACAATTGCATGAATAGGTTGTTTGTTCTGTATGTACCTTCCTTGGGTTTGAGTGATATCTGTTCTTATATTCTGGTATATACTTCATATTTGTGCAGTAGCAATATGTTCACGAAAATTTGGAAAAACCTAATATGCTAATATGTAAATTTTGAATTTTTTCCCCAACCAGGCTCTAGATGCAGAAAGTATGGACATGGAAATTGATTTGTCAAACCTTGGAACAGTCAATACAGTGTTTGCTGCATTATTCAGGTATTTTTATGGGTGGTAATTCTGGTAAATCTTCAGCACTAGATGTTTTTGATACTTGGAGTTTGACATGAATCTTTCCGAAATTATTTCAATCGTTGTAGCAAGCTTGGCGTTCCTATTAAAACAACAATTTCTGCTAATGTACTCGAAGAAGCTCTGAATGGGACTGTTACAATCAGACCCCTTCCAATGGGCACATCAGTCAGCGGAAAGGTGCGGTGCTCTCTTTGGAAATCTCTTCTTTTGCCTGATGGTGTTCTATTATGTACATTCTGAGCTGGGTATTAGTGGATGATTTTCAGGTAGAAAAACAATGTGCACACTTCTTCGGTGTAACCATAAGCGAGCAACAAGCTGAATCAGGGATTGTTGTGAGGGTTTCTTCAAGTGCACAGAGCAAATTTAAGGTTGTCTGAACACAAAGAAAACTAGTCTTTTCTTTTATGTCTGGTAAAGTTCCGAGTAATATTAATGATGCAGGCTCAGCCTTTCCCTTTTTCAATTTCAGTTGCTTTATTTTGAACAAGACGTGAATGGTGGCTATGGTTTAGCGCTACAGGTACCTTCATATCTCATTCATTCTTTTGTGGTTTCTCTTTCTCCCAGGTTGTCTTGAAATGAATCCTCTGTTATAACTGAATATTTACTTCATACAAATTGATACTTTCACTCGGAAGAGTTTGTGATATGTCTTCTTATCTCATAATTCCCATCTTTGTTTGATGTTTTGAGAATCATGGTGTTCATTAAGTACCCCCAAGTTATTAAAACTAGTTTCTATAGATGACGGTGTTGTTTCTTCCTTATTTGCTTGCTTTAAATTCATTTCCTGCTTTTACAATGCATTTTAGGGACAAGATTGTCTGTATTTGGCTTTCTTGATGCATCTCAAAGCTTCCAGTGGTGCCTAACCCTGGGCTCGGTCCGGCCCTAGCTTTGAGGCCCTAACATTCAGGATATCCGACATCATTCATTTGGAACTTTTGAACATTTAATCTGGGTGTTTTGGTTCGGGACCAAGTTTGTAATGCTAATAGTCTGAGCATTACATATTTGAAGGCCATCTACCAAGTACTAATTGGTGCTACTCATAAATAAAACAAATCAGCGTAAGCAGTTAGGTCCACTATGTCCAATTAGTGTCCGCTGGTTATTAATTTGGTTTTCTCTTGGGGTTATGAGTTTATGTGGTCTTGTGCTAGTGAATGCAGGAGAACTTATACTGGAGAAATTTTATGGTTTGCTGCGTTGAGCTTTAAGTTAGAGTGTGTTCTTCCCTTTACTTGTAGATCTGTATTGTTCATCATGGAAATTCAGTTGTTGGGAATACAGGGAATGGGTAAGCTCATGGCTTCATGGAAAAATTCAGGTTTTCGTGCTTGTGAATCATCCATCATGTGATATCAGGGGTAGATGACACTTATTGTACCCAGCTTTCAGAATTATGAACCTTTATCCGCCAGCTAATGAGTTATTTTAGCTATTATAGTAACACGCTAATACCTTGATATGACCACAAATTTCTAGATTTTTGCTTTTATTGATGTGGGTGGTCGAATGCTCTCACCCTTCTGCCAATCTTATTTTACTGCATTTTCCTATCTACTTTTGTATTGTTTTCGTGTATTGATAACTGCTTTTAACTCCTCAAAGTTATCACCAGCTTTATAATTCATTTGTATTATATCTTTTTGCTTCTGCAGGAAGATAGTGAGAAAACAGGCAAGGTGACATCTGCTGGCATGTATTTCTTGCATTTTCAAGTTTACAGAATGGATTCAACAGTGAATGCGGTATGCGCTTTAAAATGACTTTACCCTTTCCTTTGCTTGATTTTATTTTTTCGAAATATCAACATCTAAGATTATTATCTATCATGGTGCAGTTAGCAATTGCTAAGGATCCCGATGCCGCATTTTTTAAGAGGTTGGAAGGTCTACAACCTTGTGAGGTTTCGGAACTCAAAGCTGGCACTCATATATTTGCTGTTTACGGTCTGGACAACCTTACCTGGTCTCTTAAAGTTTTACTTAACCTTTCAAAGAATTATAAATTTGTCTGATTGCTCTTCTGCAAACCTTTTCAGGAGACAATTTTTTCAAGACGGCTACATATACAATTGAAGCACTTTGTGCAAAATCATATGAAGATACAACAGAAAGGCTCAAGGAAATAGAGACCCAGATTTTAAGAAAAAGAAATGATCTACGTCAGTTTGAGACTGAATATAGGAAGGTATATCAGTTGATATTTCTTACACTTGGCCATATCAAGCATTTGATCTTTCGTTTGTCTCGTGTGTCTCATAGAAATCTCTCTGCAGGCCTTGGCACGGTTTCAGGAAGTAACCAACAAATACACTCAAGAAAAGCAAGCTGTATGTTTCAGTACTTCCCTCTTGAATGTCTCTATTCTGCATTTCCCCCCTGTTTTCTATACATGTGTTCGTAAGTGTCCGAGTTAGTAGGATCTGTTCTTAATATGGAATAGAGCCATGTTTTACTAGGGATTGAGTTTGCTGAAACTGCTGATGTGACAGTCTGGACCCATTTAGAACTAGGGTCGATGGTCTACTGACAAGCTTATTTTGTGTCACTTAGTTCTTCATATGGTACATGCTTCAACATTCCTGCTTTCGCTGAGCTTTCATTGTTGTTGTAACTGCAGGTCGATGAGCTGCTAAAACAGAGAGATACCATTCACTCGTCATTTACAGTCAACAGATCGGTTAGTAATATTAGCAACGGAAGCTCGAGCAGAGTTGTTGGCGACGATATGAGATGTGAGAGCCCAGGGCATGGGGAAGAAGGTGGTTCCGACGGTAAAGATAAAGCATCTAAAAAGAAATGGTTCAACTTGAACCTGAAATCTGATAAGAAGTTGTGAGAGGGAAAAAAGAGTCAGCCATATCAGGTTTGTTTTGGTGTTGAACTTAAAAGAGGCTTGAATGAATGGCCGCCATGTTTGGGGTCGTAAGCTTTGGCCCCTCTGGTTCCCACCAAGTAAAAGGCTCATGCCTCATGCCTCATTTGTTTAGTTCAAAACTTCCCCCCTTTCCCTTTTTTTTACCTTCCATTGTCTTCCTTTTTGAAAAGGTGGTGTATAATTGGATTTCATAATTGTGTTTGCGAGGGTAAGTTTCACTGTTAGAAAGGCAATTTGTATGTATTATGATTCCAATTTGTTTATTTTTAATCTTCTATTTTGACATTTTGAAGTGGGCTTATAGCCTTCTGGTCTCTGTTGTAAACAAATTTGTAGATCAATTCCCTTTTAGTTGATTGCATAAACCCTCAGGTGCTTTTGTTTCTATTCCCCTTCAAAGGTTTGAGTTTGTGCTGCATAATTCAGGGTAGCATTCTGCTGTGATGCTTTTGCTCTTTGGTTGAAACAATGTATGTTTGGGAGTTATTGCCAACTTGTGTTCTGTGTCTTCTAACTTGATACTTTACATGCCTTTAACTCAAGTGGCCAGGTCCTCGACTTCAAATGAGATTGGTGCGTCACACCGGTCGAAATTTGCATATACTTTGCCCTATACCCTTCATACTTAGTTTTCATGTAGGGTTAGAGACAACTTAGTGTCTGTTGATGTAATAATACAAATCGTGTACGAAATAGAGCTAGTTTGAAGACGATTACATGCAATTTGACATCTATCTACTACCATATTCTACATTGTTGGATAATGATCATGTTTGACTGACAAATGATCTGAAAGTATTTGTCAAGCTTATGTCTATAATGAAGGATAGTTGTTATGACAAAATTTGAATGGTTGTAATCTACGTATATTATCGATGTGGCTAACTTGGTAGAACTACAAATGATAATGGTATTGAAAACTTTACCATTGTTAATGTTGGATGATATAATCATGCTTGAATATTTGCCAATTGAGATAGGATGTAACACTCCAAGAATATGTCTACATCGATTGGATATTTACAACCATTGTAACTTCCCAATAATGATAGAGACCAGCCTATAAGGCTATAACCACTTATAGATTAACCCATCGCCATCGTTTGAACAGAAGCACAAGTGAATGAAGCCTTTTTCTTTCTCTTGGTACTACAATGATTCAACTGATGGACAAAGAATGTAGACATCAGACACATTAATTGGAAGTCCATAGTTTAGTTAGGCACCATGTTATGTTAATAGCATGACTGATGTTAAACCATTACGTGTTGGTTTAGAGGAGGAAATCCTGAGAGAGACATGAGGGAGAAGATAGTATAACAACATCCATTATGTTGTTACCCTAACAACAAGGGTATAAGAGTAAACTTACAAGATAATTAAAAAAACTAGAATTAAAAAAATAATAAAAAGCGTATTTTTCTTTCTCCTTCAATCCCCAATTCTTCAGATCCCTATCGTATTCTGCGGCGATCGTTTTCTTCCCTCCGGTGCCGGCACAGGCGACGCTTCTTCCGAGGAGTTACAATAGCAGATCTCTTCCCCTACCGGACCTCGATCTCCTCCGCCGCTATCAGCTTCTCTTCCGTCGCCATCATCTTCTCCTCCCCTTCCTCTTCACAACCCCATCAAACTCCTCCGTCACGCTGCTTGACCCGCCGCCGCAGAATCTCTGCCACTACTAACAGGATGCCGCCATCGGAATCTCTCCTCCGAAGCCGACGGCTTCTCCTTCTGTGCCTCTCCTCCGCCGATTTTTTTTTTATGGAAGAAACTGCAAATAGGAGAAGGCACGGAAGATGAAAGGCGGCCACAGCTGATGATGAGCTGTTGGAATGGGACGATCGAGATCTTGCAGATTTTATCTATCTAGATATGGTGAGCGATCGAGGTCTTCTTAGGGAATGGATGATGTTGGAATTGTATGTTGATGAAATTAGCATGCAGGTGTGCTGGGTATTTATAGGTGCTGTTGATTCTGTTGTTGGGATTCGAGGAAGGTTGTCGGGGAGACGAGGTCGTCGGCCGGGATGGAAAGTTTGGCAAGAGCCGGCGGCCGGGGCTCAATTCATTAAGAACGTATTTGGATTTGTCAAACATTTCATCAATTTGCCAAGGAACTATTAATTAATTAACAACTCTTCCACCGCAAGTAAATTTCAATATTTGACCAATGTTGGTGAACCAGTTACTACACTTCATTAGTTTGTTTTATAGTCTCTGTGTAGCTATTAAGCTGCAATTTTGAGTTTTTGAGCATCAATCTTCTTTCTCCACTTATTTGATTGAAATCTTTGAAAGTGTAGGCATATTTTTACAAGTTCCGGTAGTTTCAAGTTCACTTGAAAGCATATCAAAAGTCTTGGAATGCACACCATAAATCTTATAAAACATACCACAAATATCACAAAAGCATACCACAATTATTTCGAAAACATACCAGAAACCCTCTAATGCATGCCATAAATTCTCTAAAACAAACTAGAAACACCACAAACCAAACCACAAATATTTTGAAAGCACACCAGAAACCTCATAATGCAAACCACAAACACGTTAAAGCAAACCAAAAAAACAAACCAGAAACGTCCTAATGCAGACCAAAAATCTACTAAAACAAACCAGAAATCCCGCAAAGCAAACCACCGAATTTTAAAAAACACACCAGAAACCTCATAATGCAAACCACAAACACGATAAAGCAAACCACAAAAACAAACCAGAAACGTCCTTATGCAGACCAAAAATCTATTAAAACAAACCAGAAACCCGTCAAAGCAAACCACAAAATTTTTGAAAGCAAACCAGAAACTTCTCAATGCAAATCACAAACACGATAAAGCAAACCAGAAACTTCTTAATGCAAACCACAAACACGATAAAGCAAACCACAAAAGGCATACATAAATACGAGAAACCAAACCATAAATCTCACAATGCAGACCATAACATCCGTCGGTCGTTGACCGTTGACCGGTCAACGAACTTCGTTGACCGAACTCCGATGACCGTCAGTGAGCAGATTCCGACGCCGATAGGCATATTCCGGCCCCGATGACTAGATTCCGACGCCGGTAAGCATATTCCGACGCCGGTGAGCATATTCCGGCGCCGGTTAGCATATTCCGGCGACGGTGAGCATATTCCGACGACAAAATAGCATATTCCGGTGACCGACGACCAGATTCCGGCAACCGATGGTCGAATTCCAGCGACCAAAATTTTGGGCCGAAAATAAAAAAATATTTTTTTATTTTTTCATTTTTATTTTTTATTATTATTTAAATTTTTTTCATAATGACAATTATACCCCTGCTTTGATTTTACACTAGGTCAACTCATCTAATAAAAAGTCATCACAATCCTAGCTTCCTATTGGTTGGAGACTAGTGTTGTTACAATAACAACACAAGGGGTGTTGTTATAGTATCTAGTCCCGAGACATGATGTGTAAAAAAAAAAAAAAAAGTCACTTCACATGACTAAAAGCCAACTAGCTCCTCCACCGAACAACCCTGACTTTTAACTACTTTTAAATTCTTGGCAATCACAATTAATTAACTTGAATCAAGTAGTAGGTAGTGTCTTACTTGGTCATATATACCCACAATGTTTGGATTGATGACATTTAAATTTATATTATGTCCAATTCTAGATTTTCTACTATTTGGTGACACAAATGATAATATATGGAGTCGGTACAACTTGCTTACATGATAGATTCATATTCTTAGTCTCATATTTCACGACGGGAGAAATAGCTACAAGTTTCATATTCTTAGTCTCATGTAGGATCCTAATTCCCTACTCTAATGAGTATTTTGGATATTTATAGATATGGGGGCCTTACACGGGCTAGCACGGCACGATACGGTGAGAGCACAGATACAAAATATATATGGCCAACCCGTTACGAGCAACAATAATTTATGGGTCGTGTCGGTCCTAAACTTCATGGGCGCAAGCACGACACGATTAATAAGTGGGCCGTGTTGGACCTAATGTTTTTGAGACCCTATCGAATGTAAGCACGACATGATACAAAAAGTATATTTTTTATAAAAAAATAAATATAATGAAATTTACAAGTTCAAATATTACAAAATACAACTACAAAAAATTCATTTATATTGTTATTAGAAGTGGTCATAAAGATATTAAATGCAATTACTACCATAAATAAAAATGGCCGAAGAATAAAAAACACATGAAGGTCAAATCACACCCGTTATACTTCCATTGCTAATTGAAACAAATATTCTATCTCTTCCTCGAAGAGGTGAATCAGAAATAGGATCTCCATGTCCAAAATCCATTCTCAATTAATACTTTCATTATCTGTCAATTTTTCTCTTCCTTTCCCATTCTCTCTTTTATTTTCTTCCTTTTCATTAAGCATGAATATGAGCAAGGCACGAGCACAAATAGACACGACACGTTCAAACCATGTACGAGCCCGGGTCTAATAAATTTGAAAAATGGGTTGTCATGACATGAAAACTGACAGGTCATACCAAACACGACATGAGATAAACGAGCTCGAAACTTATTCATACCGTGCCGGCACAAACATGACTTTAGCACCCGGGTTCAATCCAACATAGTTTCAAAAACATGCATGAGTATTTCCATTAAGAGGAATTCACCGTCGGTTGGTTTATTATGCTCTTGATGCATTTACATTGTTCTATCACTTCGAAAATTTTTCTTTAACACCAACCGACAGGTTTTAAGTTCTAACCACTTGCTCGTACAAATTTCTCGGATAATCTTGAGTGATAGTAGATTCATAAATAAGAAGAAGAAAACAAATCTAATTTGAAAAGAGAACCCCGAAAGTCACATTTAGTGCCAGCTTTTACTTGGGTTACTTTTTGGATCCTTCCAAAAAGTAAGTGCCTGCGCCTAAAGAGATCAAAAGATTATTTAAAAGATAAATGAAATTAAGAAGTTTAGCCAAAGATGATAGGATCATGTCACAAGATGTTATCAGGGCCGTCCCATGATATTAGGAGGCCCTGTTCGAAAATTTAAAATGTGGCCCTAAAAATTTTTTCCCGCAAATTTATTAAAAAATAAAAATTATTAAAAAATTTGCATAAGCTCGGAAAATGATTACAAGAGGAATAATTGATCACGTTTCTAGTTTGACCAAGAAACCAATACCAAATTCCCAGTCCTAGTAGGGAGGGAAGTAAAGCTGGAGGGAAGAGAAAATAGATATAGCGCAAAAATTGAACGGAGAAATGAAAATAGTCTAAATTGATCGCGAGAGGTGTGTACGGGGTTGTCTAATAGATCGTGGAGGCCATGTTCCAAAATTGAGACGTGATCCAAATTGAGTTTTAACTATAATAAAACTAAAATGATTATATTACCATTATTCAACATGTAATATCTTTCTATATTGTTTAAACTAA